CTTCTTTTTTTGGTGTGTAGACATTTGCTGTAAGTTGTCCTCTGCTTCTGCTGTGTCCCAGTGGAATTGTTATGTTATATTTTATTTCACATTATATTTCATTTCTTGTTTGCTTTTAAGAAGTTATGCATTTCCTTTTTTATTTATTCTGTTATTGTTGCGTACCATCCAATCAGAACTGGCCCGTGGCTGATGCCTCCGACAGGTTCGGCAGTGAGTCACATAGGAGGAGATTGCTCATCCTTCTCCCTCTGAGCAGCTGATAGAATCAAACTTCGTGCCTTCGGGATTGTAGCACAGCTTCATGCCACTAGGCCACTAACCCTCTTTTTTTTTTAATTCCATTATTTACAGTCATTTTCCAGTAGGGAGTTCTTCTGTTTCCATATATTGTTCCTCTCTGGTTGTCCTGTTTTCAGTTTCTGATTTTATAGCATTACTACCTGAGAGGATGGCTTGTATTATTTTGATGTTTTTAAATTTGTTGAGGCTTGTTCTGCAGCCTAGCATATGGTCAGTTCTGAAGAATGTTCCATGTACACTGATGAAAAACACGGATTCATCTCTTGTGGGGTGTAGTGTTCTGGACGTCTGTGAGGTCAAGCTGGTTGACTGTGTAATTGAGATCTTCTCAGATGTTGTTCTGTCTGTTCTTCATCAAAAGTAATGTGTTGGAATCATCTCCTTCCACTGTTTAATTGTTTCTTTCTCTTTCCGATTCTCTTAATGATTTCTTTACATACCTTGAGGATCTTTCATAGGAAGCATAGATATCTATTAGTTACATCCTCTAGCTGGACTGACCTTTCAGTCACTACTATATATTATCCTTCCTTGTCCCTTGGGCTGATTTTTGGCTTAGCATCTATTTTGTCAGAAATTAATAGAGCCACTACTGCTCTTTATTTTTTTTGTTATTTTGGGTTGTTGTTGTTGTTGTTGTCATTATTAATAGGAAATTTTCCTTTTATACTAGTTTACTTACTAAGTTTGTATACATTGTTTTTCATACTGGATCTTTCTCATTTCCTTAACCCACCCCTCCCTTCCCCCATCAAATTGGGCAACCTTATAATTACCCAGCCCCCGCCCATTCTCACCCCTCTGCCCCCACCTCCCCCCTCTTAGATGCTCATGCACATTTTTACTAGTTCTCTATATCAGAGAGCTGGACAATGACTAGGTAGGATAGAAGGAGAATGCCTTTGAGCTATAGTGCTGGAGAAGAGTATTGAGGGTACCATGGGCTGCTAGGAAAACAAACAGGTTCATCTTAAAGAGGATTAAACCAGGCTACTCCTTGGATGCAAGGATTCTGGGGCTTCGTCTGACATACTTTGGAC